CCAGATAGACAGGGTCCGGACACTCCCGCTGGGAATGTGACCCTGGGAGACTGGATCCGGGCTCTCCCGCTGGGAATGTGACCCTGGGAAACTGGATCCGGGCTCTCCCGCTGGGAATGTGACCCAGATAGACCGGGTCCGGGCTCTCCCGCTGGGAATGTGACCCCGACAGACTGGATCGGACTCTCCCTCTGGGAATGTGACCCTCGGAGACCGGGTCCGGAGTGTCCCGTCGGGAATGTGACCCTGGGAGACCGTGTCCGGAGTGTCCCGTCGGGAATGTGACCCTTGGAGACCGGGTCCGGAGTGTCCCGTCGGGAATGTGACCTTGGGAGACCGGGTCCGGAGTGTCCCGTCGGGAATGTGACCCTGGGAGACCGGGTTGAGATACTGTCGGAGACTTCCTGCATTTGTAAAGCACCCGTCATGTCCTCAGGACTCACCATCCTGCTTTCCAGCCAGTGATGTCCTCTTTGACGTGGAATGACTGCCATACTGGAAGGGGCAATGCACGCACAGCAAGATCCCACAGACAAAGTGATGGTCAAGGGACAAATCTTAGTCATTTCCCCTGGTTTTTTCAATTAACATGCTGGGATCTTGCCCATCCGGCCTGGGCCAGGGTCTCAGATTACCATCAGTAACTGTGACAGTGCAGCACTCCCACTGTACTGCACCCTGAGTGTTCACTGGGGATTCACACCAATGGCCCAGGGATCCCAGCCTCACACTCCAAGGGGGACTGAGGGCTCTCACTGAGTCAGGGCTCTGAAGAGAGACAGAAACGGACGGTCTTTGGGCTGTTCATCCCCTTTACCTGTGTCTCCCTGTCCGCTTGGGGGCATACTCTTCAGAAGGCTGGCCTCAGGCCGGGTAAATATCCTCCGCCACAGCTCACACTTCCTCTGTTTCTGACAGCAGCTAACCAGAGATACAAAGCAAACAGCTGGGTCACTCACACCACGACCAGCCTAACAGGAACCCAGTTCACTGCCCGTCCCTAACTGCCCCCCACTCCCCCCCCCCGACAACGTGCTGCTGAATCGATGAGGGACGTGTCAGGCTGTTTCCGAGGGCAGTCTGGAGTCACGTATAGGCCAGGCCAGCTCAGATTGCCTACCTGGAAGGTGTTTGGTGAGCATGATGGGGGGGTCTCTGACAACAGCCTGGTAGCTCCCAGGTCCGCTGTGTCCTTTAAGTCAACGAGATGTGTTTGAATTGCCTGGGTGTGTCCCACCCAGATGGGGCGGCACGGTGGCTCAGCACTTAGCACTGCTGCCTCACAGCGCCAGGGACCCGGGTTCGATACCCACCCTCTGCCCCCAATCCACATTCTGCCCCCCCCCCCCCCCCCCCCCCCCCCCTCCCCCCCCCCCTCCCTGCACCCCCATCCACATTCTGGGCCCCCATCCA